TCGTTCGTTCGTTCGTTCGTTCGTTCGTTCGTTCGTTCGTTCGTTCGTTCGGCTCGTTCGTTCGTTCGTTCGTCCGGGCTCGGGCCCCACAGCCTCTCGCGGAGAACCCGTACGACGACACGATGAGTGGAGTGCCCACTACGGAGAAGTGCCTGCTACCAAGAGTCGTGATGAGATGTCCCCTTTTGCGTGTGAGAGAAGGGCTCCCACTCGGCCGCCTATAGAGGGGTTCGCGGGGCTACCTAACCGACCTCCACAGCCAGACCCTAACCACCTAACCATCGCGTCATTGGACGAACTCCACCAATCACAGCTCCCATGCGTTTCTATTGGATCGACTGGCTAGCGTTTCGACGCTCAGCTGGGGTTGCGCCGCACTAGTCGTCGCGACGCCGTTGGTGAAATTTACAGACCTCCTGCAGAGCATCCGCCTATCGCGCGCTGATCCCCGGCTCCCTGCCAGGGACCACCTAGTCTAGCGAGCGTCTCATGGCCACCGACTATGGCACGGCCTACCTTCCTCACCTCCCTTTCTCGTTCTCTACCTCTCTCCCATTCTTTTTCCCTCTCTTTCTGATCCTAACCATGTGTTGCTGTCTCTTTATGTCGCGCGGTGTCTAACTCTGTCCTTGGAAAAATATCTCAACGCGGCACACGCGCTCTAGCATACTTGGATCGTTGGGTTCTTTCCTCGTGGACACCCACGACGACCTTACCGACCATCCTTATCGTATGCAACACACGTTGCTCCAATATGCATTCTTGGCCACCGATGTCGCGGTGATACATTCAATGGTTTATCACTGCGATGAAAAGCGTCGCTAGTTGCTCGTTCTTCCGTTCTTATTTCTTTTAACAGTTTTTGCAAATCTAAACGGGCTAAGTGGAGGATCTTTCAATTTTTTGCAGACCATGTATTAAGTAAAAGAATATTTAAAAAATAAAAATAAACAAAATCTGGTAACATTGGAAATTTTAATTATCTGAAATGAAGTACTGAGCTGTTGAATTTGAAATTGGTTCACAGTCATTTTTTAAATGTTCAATCACAGACGAAATAGAGAATAGACCTATCACACGAAGCATTTTTTTGTCTATGTCACGGGAGATCTAGGGCCCATTACCATTTTCGTGTCACTCTCAACGTTATCGATTCAGCACAGAATAAGATTACAACATTAGTAGTGGTTGGAATTAGAACTAAATGTAAGCATAAAAATACAAATAAAACATATGATAAGATATCACATAATCGTACACGAAGTATAGAATTCTGTACTTCTAAATGTATAATATACATTAGGTTAATCAGAAAGTTCTACTGTTTTATTTGCGAAGAAATTTGCAAATTAATCTATGGTATAATAATGGAATATTACTTAAAAAATGAGTGTTTCGCAAAAGGAAATGGATTTTGTGTCTAAGGGAGAAATAAATAGACTATAAAATGCTGTAAAACAACACTAGTATATTGTAACCTATTGTAAAATACTGATTTTTTACACTATCGGTATATCAGAACGTGAGACACAACATCCCATAAGATGATAAGCCTATTCTGTACCTTGTCTGTAATTCAACACTGCGTACAGCAATTTTGACTGATCGAATTTAAAAAAACATCGTTCCAGCGAGATTAAGCGACATCCATTGAGTGTTCTTTCAACGATCGTAGACCTCTCGCAAAGAGGTTTATGTGATAAGTAGTTCCATCACATTACAATGGCATATAGGATATTTCGTACATGTAAAGCAATTACAAATTGCACAATAAGTACCAGCATCAAAAACAATGGTATTTTTCATAACATATTGTTCTCATATATTTTTTAATCAACCTTGTTTGAGTTTTTGTTTGCATAACCTTAAAATTTGTTTGCGATTCGTATTTATTTTGTCTTTGTTGAAGGGGAAATTGTTAATAACTCGAATTTCTTATTTTTCCAATAAAATACGCTTACTTCAATATAAATTTTCAGCTATTCCTGTTGATTTATTAGTACCACAAACTTTACAAATACAGAATGCAAGGAATACCAACTTTTTTATGAGAAGTAAGAACATTTTACCATTTTCCAATATATTCGGTAAATCTTGATTACGTTTAAGCAATATAAAATTAAATCTTGCATTTAGGATCCGCTGCCCAATTGTGGAAAGCTGTCACTAGCGTCAGTAATGCTGGTAAAAGGAGAGGAAGAGGAAAGAATTTACCAAAAGTAAAAGATTTAAACGAAGGGCAAAAGTTAGGTTGGGGAAAAATACCAATAATGTTTCCAGGACTTAATATAAATATTATGCAAGGAAAAACTGTAGTTACACAACGACGTCTTTCGGAAGAAGAACAAGAATCTAGACAATTGAATGTTGCCAAACATGTAGGTACATCTATGTTATTCAAGAAATTCAAAACTCCAGCCTTAAAACGTGGTTGGACTGGAGGTCATTTAGGAGGCAAAAAGATTGGACCACCTAAACCTATTGATGATGGTTTGTAATACAATGTTGTTATATGTGTACATATATATAAATAATATTAATACAATAATATAATTTTAGATAAATTTGATGGTTTTGAAACTTGGATGTTATACAGTAAAACGGTGAATGTTATGACAAGTATTATGGGTCGTTCTAAGCGTGTACGTTGTATGGTTATAACTGGAAATGGAAATGGCTTGGCTGGATTTGTAATGATAACAGGAAAGGATCTTAGATCAACTATATATACAGCTAAGAGCAGAGCAGGACAAAGATTAATTCATGTTGAAAGATATAATAATCATACTGGTAAACAATAATTATCTATTATTACACATTATGTTGTGCATATATCAAATATAAAAAGGTGAAAAATTACGAGCTACGTTTTCGTTTCAGTACTCCATGATTTCTACACACAGTTTGGAAGAACAAAAATATTTGTGAAACAAAAACATAAAGGATATGGACTCAAGTGCCATCGTGCTATACAAGCATGTTGTGAAGCTATTGGTATAACAGATTTGTATGCTAAACTCGAAGGATCTAGTAATACTGGTAATATAGTAAAGGCTTTCTTTGTTGGCCTATTACAGCAGGTATATTATGCACAAATTTGATTCGACATACTTCTCATGCTTTGTACTGTATTACTCATCGCAATATTTTCAGAAAACACACGAGGATATGGCAAAGGAGAAAAAATTGCATTTAGTTGAAATAAGGAAAGAAAATAACTATTTTCCTACAGTACTTGCTTCGCCACCAGTAGTTCGAGATCGTTCGGAAATACCACCAAACGAAGATTTAGATTTCCAACAGTACGTGATGAAAGGAAAAGTTCCTTATTGGAGAAAAAAGCCACCACCATTCTATGCAAAACTACCGTCATGGCAAGTTCATTTGCGTAAAGAAGAGCGCCACAGAGGTCAAGACGATGTTGTACTTAGATTAAGAGCTGAGTACGGTGACCTTTGTAGTTTTCTTGCTGAAAAATATCCAGAAGCAAAAGCACCTAAATGGAGGAAACACGACAAAAAGAACGAAGAGGATAGTGAACAATAATATTTCTAGAATTAATATAAACCATTCATCGGAAATATAATTATATCTTGAATGTAAATTGTGTAATAATAAAATTTTAATGTTTAAAGTTAAACATATGAAAAACTCTTTCTTTCTTCTTTTGCGTTTTGATACATTTATTTACAGGATAATGAACAAATCGAACGGAATACTTTTAAAGTTAATACAATCAACAATTATAAATGTAAATGTTGAATATTCAAGAGGATGGATTAATTTTTCGAATTCTCCTGTTTAAATGATGCATATTAAATGAAGACTGTATTATCTGCAGAAGGTATGTAATCAAATACTGATCGAGACACAAAGTACTAAGCATGGTGTGCAGATGAATGTGTTGGACACCTCGTATGGCTTCGTTTTAAGATAAAAATGAACGAAGCTCTGTTGATTCCTCGAAAGGATTTTTCACGAAGGACTTTCAATTAGCCGTGCAACGTTTGATATTGTATAAACTAATGTTATACATATAATACATTACGAAACAAGCAATATCTTATCGATCACTATTTTTTTCCTTATCGCACTGTTGGTCGATATTTAAGAAATTAAAATCAAATAAAGCATGGCTGATCCGACGATACAAACGTTCTGTTGTCACCATTCCAACAGAACGGATATGGCAATTGTAATAATGCAAGAATTCAACACGGATGTTTACAACACTGTCTGCATACTCTCTTCCACTATAGGTATCCTAGGTGCAGTGTACCAGGTAAGCGAAATTTTAATACTAAAGGGAAAATCTAATGAGAAACTGAGGAAATTGCTTTGTAGATACTTCCAAGAGAAGCATCCAGTCTTCCTCACAGGTGGCAAGGTTTTTCTGCATCCAGAGGAAGAGAGATTATCATATGGCTTGCAATTGCAGACCTCTTGGCCTCATTAGGTAATATTTCATTACATTTATTTTATAATTTTACAAGATATAAGCAATATAAAAATGAAGAAAAATGATTAATTTTTATCATATTTTTTATTTATACATTGTTTAGGTGTGTTCATAAGATCAGCATTATGGGTGAATTTTAAATCTATAATGCCTATGGAGAATGACACTTCAAGTGTTGTTTTTTGTGCACTCTCATCGGTAAAGTAATTGTATTAATAAGTTCATCACATCAAGGAATTTGGTCTATTTTATCCTTCAGTTGTGATAATGTTAAAATCTTTAACTTCCAGGCCTGGACACAGTATTTTTATATGGCAACATGGATCTGGACTCTTTGCTATGCCATTGACATGAAACTATTATTAGGAGATCGATCTGGTCATCCTACTTGTTACCATGCTTTTGCATGGATATGTCCAGCAATTTTAACTACATTTGGCTTAACAATTTTATATATACCAGATGCAAAGTTTGTGTCTTTGGTTTAATAGTGTCAATAATTTCATTCATTTATTTCTTCAGAACATCATAAAACTTTATTTTTTCTAGCTGCCATAATTTAACATCATTGTCCACTGCTATACTACGTATTCTACCGAATTATTGCGCTACCTATGTACTATTAGCAGTAGTCATGATAGTTAATCCCGTATTATATTTCGCGTCAACGCGAGATCTTCAAACTGCCGTCACTTGTAGTTTAGCGCAAATAACAGGCAGAGAAAGGAAATTGGTGCAAGCGATAAGAGTTAAATTTGCATTGACAAACGTCGTATATTACGTGTGCTGGCTACCAAATTTAATTAATGGAATTTTATTATGGACTTTGTGGTTTCAGTTACCAATAAAAGCGATCATTACACTTTGGTACATAATGGTATGTACATTTTTTTTGAGATTGATGTAACAAATTTAATTGATGTGAGAATATTTCATTTACAGGCTGTTACAAATCCTCTTCAGGCGTTCTTCAACGCTCTCGTTTATAAAAGGTGGGGGAGAAGGGAGAAATTTCGACTGGAGTGTTGTCAGAAATTGGGGAACTTTAACTTGAGTCAAATCACAAAAGGAGAGACGAGTATGCGATTAACAGAGTCATCACCCTTATTGGATCCGAAATATGGGTGTCCGCCGCATACAAGTATTAACGGATCCTCTTCGTTTTAAAAACTGTGATACACGAAACCTCATTAAATCATAACCATAAGACGTTACGAATTTATTGAGGTATAAAACATTCTACTGCCTTATGTCACTTTTAAAGGAAATTATATTTTTAATATTTACGAAATCTTTAAGCTTCAAAGAGATAATATGCTCAATCGTTCATTTTACTGTGAACACGTGTAACGAGAACCACGTAAGAGAATTTACTATTTACATATAGGTGTTGTATATATAAAATAACATTTCTTTTTTCTATGAGTAATTACATTATAAAGAATTAAGGTTTTTTTTTTTATATAGATTAGACTGTAGCGGTAAAGAGAGCTTTATAGAAAATGAATATCTTGTATTAATTTGAGATACATTGTCTCGGAAAGCACATTTGTTAATTGTTATAAATTGTTAAAGAGATTTTATTTTCTACATATATAAAGAGATACACGTATATAGTGTACTATCGTTTAATCGGTATAATTTTTATCGTACATCTAATGTTTCTTATGTTACGATTTCATTATGAATTAATTACAAAATGTCAATCGTAACTCAACACTCCGTGAATACATTAATAAGGGAGCACCTCTGATAAAACACGTGTCTCAAAAAATAGTGCGTGTAGAATTTTTAAACAGATATTCCGATCGTTTTTGATTAACAAATTTTATTCGTACAACATCCCTTCTCCTTGTAATAAAAAAATTCTTATGTACACATCGCTATTAACAAATGATCAAACACTCACTTTTCTAGAGACTTACATGTACATTTCGTAAATAGTACCAAGACTGTATATTTTGGAGCAACGAGTTCTATTCAACGTGTAGCACCAAAAGTTCTACGTAAATATGAAAGGTACAGTAACTAAATTTTTCATTCTTATGCGTTAAACTTGAATGCATAGTAAGCATGTTTTTACACCTTTTATAAATATAAATTAACGCATTAGTATAAATCGCCAAAATACTGTACGATTTGTACGCAAAAGAAAGGTTAAACTAGCTACTACCGTTCTTTCATTTTTATACGGAAAGGAACCAATGTGCACCATTAATCAACTAATATGTCAACAACTTTAGCCTTGAACTGTATATGTTTGTTACATTATCTAAATCATTCTTCTTACAACATTATGTATCAGTTGCTCATTTTTATTTATACATTACTTGTTTTTTAAAAATAGATTCGATTTTAATAAAATAACTTTTGTGTAATGCTATATACAAATCTTCAAGAACCATTGAATAGGGACCGACGTAAGAAATGGTACAACATCCTAATATCCTTTCTCCGGAAGAACTCTCCATGAAGATATCAATTTCCAACCAAAAACCTGCTGTGTATTACTTGGGTCATTTATGACGTTGAATTTTCTCAAATTATTTATTAAAATTTTTTATGAAACCACCTTTCCTATTATTAACATTGTTGGACGAAAAATATATAATTCGAAAGCAATTTTATCCTTTTCGTATACAAGATTATCAGTACTGATTTGATTGGAACGAGCCTACGCTAGACTGGGGGTAACTAAAAAGACTCTTCAAATATTTATGCTTCGAACAGCATAAGAAATTTCTAGTGGAATACTTCTATTTTGTTACACCCAAACCACTCCTCCAGAGATGTTCTTGATCTTATATGTATAGGTTATCTTCTGACATGAATATTTCCTAAAAACTAGCTACATTAGACTGGTCATATATAACGGTTTTTCGATCATGCAGTTTTTTTTATATATCACTTAGAAACTCTAAAATAAATACTGCCAAGTAGACGTCTAAAATATAAGAATACTTCAAGGAATCCGTAGATGTTATTGCTATATAAGATTCGTGCAAAATTAATTGAACTATAACGCAAAATTGAAACGATAAAAGCCTACGATTTCGTAAAGAGTTCGCTCGTTTCTAATACATCTAAAGTGCACTTCATTCGTTGACTTTCAGAACACGTACATTGTATCCTAATCACATTGCCTGGCGATATGTCGTAAACCGTTTATTTATCACATGCAAAATGTTATTTCTGTTTTTTTTTTCTCTTCTTCACCTTTCACACTCACGGGTAAGAAATATTGACTTTCGTCGAAAAGATTGGAAGACGAAACGTAAAGTTTATCGAAAAATGAATATACTTGGCAGTTAAATAATTGAAAATGTAACATACGCTTCTATTGAACACAAAACAACATGCTCTTTACGTTATAATTATAGTCGCCTTAAAAGTACAATCATGTATTATACGATACAAACGAATACTTTGATAATCTCATATAAACGTTCAAAAAGAATACGAAGTCGAAGCATTTGGAAATTATTGTTTTCGTTTTTGTATAATTCGCTATTGTGATTTAAATAAACGGTAAAGCACTGTATCCACGGTAATGTCATAATTCGTTTTGTTAATTGTTTGTAACTCTCGTAAAACCTAGAATTATCAAATGTGTCACAGGCTCGTCGACGAAATGGAACAATAAATTATAAGAATTAATAAAAAACTAACAATAAAAATTTTGTTCAAAGAACGATTCTAGCAAAGTAGAAAATACACACATTCTTACTTATTAGTCGTACATCGATCACAATGTTAATTTTACTATAAATTCGACGTTAAATTTACGTGTTTTTTTCACGTATTATCAAAGACGAAAAATATAATAAATGTATTACAATTTACAAATACGAACTCACTCTTGTTTCCAATTATTAAATGTAGTAAAATAATTGGTGTTATCTTTATTCAATTTGGCACTTTAGTGGAATACGCCGTAGCGATTTGTAAAATATTAAAAAAAATTGGTATAATACCAAACGAAATATTTACCTTCGAGCACATGAAAAATTCGAAGCTCCTAGAGTCAAAGAGGTGATCTCACGAACGATCATCTCGGCAATCTTCCATGCTAATTCCTCTTTGGCCTAATTATATTGATTTATTATAATTTAAAATCGAAGCAAAAAAAAAAAGTGAAAAATCATGCCTTAAATGTCACCATACATATGACTAAAAAACATGAAATTTACCTTATCTTGCTCCATATTTACAAGCCTTTTCACAGCACGTGTTAATCGCGATTCTACAATTATTTACAGACAATTATTGTGATTATTGCAATCTTGTACAAGTTTCAGAAACTTGTTTTAAGCAACTCACCATATTTTCTTTGAGGATCTGGTTCTATTTCGGTAACGAATCTACCTAAAGCATCGATATAACCAACGCTTAAACTGTAAAGTAAATAAGACACATGTTGAATCATTTATCTCGCGATATCTTTATTTAACATTTACCTATATTTATTACGTCTCCACAAGGAATCAGGATCGTAAAGCTGTCGGGTATCGATGTTCATGCCACCAGTAACATTCGTTTTATTATTGTTCAACCTATTTCCTTCATTCCCTGCCTGCAGGGTGCTTTGCATACTAATACTAACAGAACTGACTTCACTACTGCAATCAGAACCTAAAAATTTGTTTTAACTTTCATAATGAATCAAGTTTATTTCCACGTTACTAGAGTTACATAAAATGCAATGAGTGTCAAAAATACACAAACCTGCTCTTTTTAGCTTAGGATGTAAGTTCGAACATGGACTGCTCTGTATAGTACTGATCAATTCTGATAAGTATTTGTAATATAACTGTGATGATAAGAAGGTAGGCAAATAATGCTGAAAAAAATTCACCATTATCTCAAGTTGAAGCCACTAAATCTTATCAATATTTGATTAACTTTTAATCGCAATCGTAAAAGGGCGTTGCTTTATATTGGGTTGAAATGTTGTTTTACCTTATTCAAGAAATTATATACAATTTTACAGGGCTTATCGAAACAATCGGGTTGTGGTCCCTCCCCATCCTCGCGGCAGATGTTTTGCTCCACTTGAAAGCGAATTTTATCGCTGAAACCAAGAGGCATCGTTGCTTGCAAACTAAAATACCTACAACGATATATGTATATCAATTACAGTCAATGACTTTACTTCCTCCTAATGTATTTCAAGACTCATAAGAATTGCTAGAAAAAGGTGTACTTGTCATAAATAATCAAAGCATCAGTTTGTGCTTCCTTAGGGTCTGTAACATCCTTCTTACCCAACAAGTTTTGTTTATAACTTATTGCAGACATCCAGAAGTCTAATAATTCACGTTTGTTCTCAATTTCCATAAACTGCAAAATCATAAATACGATAATTTCGGGTGGAAATTTAAAACATATTAAATATATAAATAAGACTTTCACCTCCATAAAATAAAAGAATGCAGTTTCATTGTACAATATATCTGCTAGCTGTACATTACCACTTGTAAGAACATCAATCTGATGCTTGCAGTGAAATTCACTTCTTAAGAAGTCATTAATGTGTCTACAAAGGATTGCATTTAAATATCCAAGGAATATATTCCAAATAATTCAATGTTTCTTATACTCACTCATTTTCTAATATCTGGTAAATAATCTCTTGAATAGCTGATAGGCACTGCAACATAGGCTCAATGTTTTCACATGTAAGAACTTTGTCCATTTTTACTTTAAGATCTTCAGGAATTTGATTAATACCCAAAGTATCCTTAACAATATATCTTTTATAAATCCTTAATGCATCCTGCTTAATGGTAGTCATGTCCTTTTTCTTGCAATTATGATTTGATTGTCGCATTCTGCTTATTGTTTGATTAGTCTTTGGCATGTCATTGCAATTTGATTTTGCATCATTACTATTTACATATTCATTGAATAATGGATTCTCACTTTCATGATCATTTATATTATTCTGTGTCACCTCACAATGAAAGTTTTCATTGTTGTCTATTGAATTGGAAAGTCCATTCATATTCTCTATACAATTTGAACATTCAACATTCTCCATCTTAGTCTCAAATGCATTAAACGAACTGCATAAACATTCCACTTCAAGCCAAAATTTAATAAGTGCTAAACAGCTACGCACTTCCATAAACTGAATGAAGTAACCTAAAGCACCTTTGTCAGCAAGAATCTGTGGAAGTGTCTTAGAGAGCTGAGAGTTAAAGGAACATGTTTCTTTCGTTTCACCATTGAGAATTTCATCTTCCTCCTCCTCCTCAAGGCTGCACAGTGTACCTGTTGGTGTCTGGATGGACAAACCACTATTGAATGCATCCCTGAATGATTTCCCAGAGCTTGTTGATTTTATGGGAGATGTTTGTAAAGATCTGGGCCTGTCTCTTTGTCCTGCAATTATCAACAATTACTCTATACACTCGTTAAATGTCACAGATTAACATACACTTGAAAAACACTCTAATTTTTATTGATCACATCAATCACACTAACGAACGTGATACCAAAACAGCACAATGTCAGCGAGATAAATATTTTGCGTTTAGGTTAACTACGATACGATCAACAAGCATTCCTTTCGTGCGTCAAATACCAACGAACCACCGTATACGAGCAAATGAATATTTACCAGGCTTCTTAAAAAATTGGAACATTGTTCACATCAGAACGAAACATGATAAGCGACGCGATATGATAATCGAGCGTAGAAATAATGTTTCAAAGCCTGACGCAAGTTTCTTCCTGCGGCAGGCAAAAATTATGCGTGAGTTCCTTTCGGACACGGTACCAAGCACTGAATTAGGAAAACGACACGGTGAACTTCCTCGAACGTGCATATAAAACGGCACATGACATTTCAATGAGCCCTCATTAATGTCATCCTCGTCCTGCTCAGGATTTTTGTATCGATTGCCAAGTAAGCATATCCGCGACATTTGTCGATAAGACGCGCAACATTCAGAAACGATCAGTGAATCAAAACGTCAAAGATGCATCGATGACATCGAACTTGCGTAATCGACCGTTTTTATAAAAATCTAATATCATCTTAAACACGTTGCACAGCCATGTTGCCGATTCGTAGAAAGTTTACTGTATATTCATCGAGACACGATTATTTCTTACGATTTCGTAATAACGAATAGTCAGCCGGAGATGTTCGCACGGCGCATCTCGTTGCGCTTTGTTACCATCGGAACCTAATTACCATAAAACATCTGTGGATTAACAAACTATATTCTATAATTTCTATTCATCACATTATCTCGTTACGTTGTATCGTATTATTTCGTATGATGTCGTTTCCCTCCTCGTGTCAAACCACTTTTGTGACAAGGACACGAACGTTACGCGACCGATATAAAAGGAATCCCACTATGCCACGACATTCGATCTTTACCTCCTTGTTATTCGTGATTCGTCTGAACCGTTCTCGCGTCAACGTACGGGACACGTTTTAGACCGGCCAGTTTTAGCATTTAAATCGGAGAATCGCTTTGCATCGGACCGCGTGTGCACGCGTTCCCTGTATATCGGTACACGATGGGGCCAATGGCCGGCCACTGTGCTCGAGGCTCTCATGACCGTTCGACGACAAAGAAATACCGGTTTCTCAGCGTACTGACCACTATATCAAGGAAGAGCATCGGTGTAACACCGTCTTTTAACCGAACCCCGGTCAGTCTGAATCCTGTCAACGATCCTCGTGCATTTTGCCGAAAGTTCGTGCCCGTTCAAGCCAGATTGGGCCCCACTTCGTCATGTATCTACGTTACGACATCCTCGTGTTGGTTTATCACGTTATGACCGGCCTGTCGTTACCGGCAACCAGCTATGATCAACGACAAACCGGCGATCTGAACGTGCAGGTCCACCTGAAGGATGTGCAAGTGCTCGCGTTGCTGGACTCAGAGTTGCTTGACGATTACACGGTAAAACGACAACTATCGGTACGGTGTACGCGCCGTGGGGTTATAACGTAGATTGATACGAGTAGATAACACGAGATAACGAAAACTATTATTATCGTTAATTTTTATCTCTTTACTGTTAGTACGATAAAGCTACTCATGTGATTATTAGAAGTGGTTTATGTTTACTTAGGTTGCGTTGCAATTAGGTACGCTTAATTATAGTTTGCAAGGAATTAATATTGAAATAATAACGAAACGTACTTGAATAAAATTTACAAAATATATTAGGTTTTATTAATTTTATTCCTTAATTTATCGTTAACAAGTGAATGGTTAGAAGAATTTTAGAAAGTGAACTTTAAGTAAATTATTACGATCCTGGGTTACAGGAGTTCGATTACTTCTACGATTATGCCGATTTCACGGTGAAACCGATCGTCAAGCCCACTACTAGTACTACCGAGGCGACTATACCAGCTTCAGAGTCTACTGAAAACGTCGATGTCGCTGAAACAGTTGATCCTTCTTCACAAAATTCAACGCTTCTCTCAACTAGCAATTCTTCAAACGCAAATTCCGCCTCAGAAGTCACAGAAATTTCTGTACTAACATATACTGAGGATACAAACAAAACTTCAGCCACTTTATCACTTGAAAGTCCAGAAAATCCAACTAAGGAGGGTAATGCATTGAAGACAAGAATCAACAACAAAACCAGCGATCTATTTAAAGTAGACGAAGAGGATTCTGTGGAGAAAAAAAATGGGAGGTCAGTCGTAGAAAATCCACTAAAAAAATCTGGAAAACGCTGTAGATCGGGATACTCGCCTAATGGGAAGGGCCGTTGTCGACGTTTGAGTCAACGAAGATTATCATTAATTCCGTGAGTACTATCAACAAGAGGAAACATTAAAATTCATAGCTCGTCTATTACAGGAGCAGTGAAACTAATTAACGATATTAATTAACGAAACTACAAACTGTGAAATTCGTGTTGTATAAAATTTCAAGAAATACTTTATCTTTTAGATTTCTTAAAGAACTAGTATAATTAGCCTTTTTCGATTTTATCTGTTTTATAGGTTAGCTATGAGATGGATGCCAAAACTATAAGACGACCTATCGCGAGGCACGAGAAATTTGGCGCAAATGAAAGTCAATCGAATGCACTCGAACCGAACTATGCCATGAATATTCGATATTGTGCAGAATCGAGTTGCGATTGTGCCTGATGTTCCTTCCTTTGTCGATTTACGCTAAGTTACGTTAAGTATGCACGCGTCGTTCGCCTCGCTTCATCCTGCATATCTATTTAGCTCGTAATTCATCGACATCGACTCGCTGTATATAATATAAGAAACATTATACTTAACAGATTTATAAAACTATTAAAATAAATTTATATATTCGTAGCGAATGATTATTTTCATTTAAACTACAAGTAAACTAACTCATAGGGGTTAAGCTCTCGAATTATTTTTACTTCTTAAGAAATTATTTTTACGGTGGTCATTTAAAAGGAAAAGAGATTTCTATCGAATGAATCGTCAAAGAACGAAAGAGAGCTTCGTTCAAAGGTTCTACGGATCGAGATAAGTAGACACGAACAGCACGCGATCCTCGGAAACGTTGCTCGAAGAGATTCCCTCTCCAACGTACCATGATTGCGAGGAAAGAAATAAAAATATCGAGCAATTACGTAACATGGTGTTATTTTCAAATATCATAATCGTGGAATATTTGGCGGATAATTAAAATATCATTTACACATATAAATCTATAAATGTATTTACTTTTCCCTAATGATCTTGAAATGCCCTTGACCTTGAGGAAAATATTTTTATTCAGTGGATGAAGGTGACTTTGAAGTCTACAAAAACTCTAAATGGCAGATGTTGTGCGTGAGAAAAACACGATATACCATCAGTACAATTGCTTCGTTTTCTTCCTTTTAACCCGTAGAGGGGGATAAAGTCGTGTGCAAGAAGCTACGTACCGCACAGCATTGACGTGAACCATCACCGATGGTTTGCGACCGCCTCTTAATCATCTAAGTCGATTACCAGGCACACGAGGCGTTTCTTACCCTCTCCAGCAGTGATACTCTCCCTCGATCTATATACAAGTCGCGAGGCGATCCAAAGCTGCCAAGGAAGCGGACGAATCTCTCGCACAGTCGGTGATCGGACTTCGTTCAGCTCGGCCGATTCAAGTGGTCGCTTACAGAGGGCTTGTCACCAAGATGCCGCTTTACGCCGCGTACCTTCTCTTGCTACCAGGTAGACCAATTATTACACTAATTTTTCTATTAGTTAAACATCTTTCTCCAGCGTTTAATTTTATTTACAATTGCATTTTGTTTTTTCTACTATCTTAAACAAATTATTCCGAAAGCTCTATACACCCTTGCTTACGAAGAGAATGTTTGTTTGTTGTTTAGATATGAAAGTCATATTCAAATTACATCTTTGTTCTTTTATATTTTTTTAATTTTACAGGCATTCTTTTCTATACACTCATCTCGCACATCAATGCGGCTCCAGCAACCTACGATCAGCGACAAAGCGGTGATTTCAATGTGGACGCGAGGTTCGACAACTTCTTTGTGGTCGTGGCCACTTCCGATAACACTGGCCTCCTCGGAAACCTCGCTGGGCAGGTGCTGGGGTGGAACGAGTTAACCTTGCCGCAGCGCAGCAAGCAACAGACGCGAGAGAAGCCGTCTGAGACTATGGTTTACGAGACGGAAGATGCAGATGGCGGCAGGGAACCTTACCACGTCGAGATCGTTCGTATAGAGAAGGATGGAGATCACAGTGATAAAAGTAAACATGTTGACCAGCCGGCAGTTGCTAAAACAGGGGAGGGCATTGATTTAAAAACGTCGGCAAAGGACGTTGAGAATTCTGAGAAGCTTTTGCAACAGACGCCTGACACAGAGGTGGTTATCGACGATAAAAAGGCGGTAAAAAAAACCAGAAGCCTTTGGAAGAGTGAAGGAGGACGTGTACTTATCGATGGTCCATTAAAAGCGAACAAAGGGCACGTTATTGATGTGAGCAAATTGCAAGTGGAAAATTTTGACCATCCTGATGTTCTGCCAGTGAAGGAAGAAACATCTAAAGCGACGAGGCCAGGCATATCGTTGAAGAAACAATTATCCAAGAAAGAGGAGGAGTCGATGTCTGCGGAGAGAAACGAATTGGGCAGCAAATACCAAGAGCTGGTGTTGATTGGAGGTGGCATTGAGAATTGCGGACCAGGAAGATACAGGGACAAGATAGGTGTCTGTCAAACCGACAAGAATTTCGATGAAAGTTTGTCTCGTTAAGTAAGAGGTACTTAAGTTATATTCAAGGGTATATGTAGATGACAATTGTGATATTTGTACACCGTAGTCACAAGCTAAACAATGGTGCTCTTAGATGTACGGAGGATTAGGATTTTATGAATACATGACTCGCGTGGAAGGTATTTAAAAAGGAATGGAATTCAAAATTCCCGCGCGTACTCTGATCTCGTAATCGAACTAGGTATACTCTAACCGTCTATTATATCTTTCGTTTTTTACGTTTATATTATTTATACTATGTATCATGCACTTGTATCACGTGTAACTACAAATAAATTACAAGCACAATGAAAGGAATGCTCTTTTCAATCCCACTTTTTCTACAATAAAAATTTGTAAGGTTTAAAATTTACATAACCTATCATTTCTTAACGTAATTTTTTCGCAGAAAGTTCTTGAGTTATCTCTGTTTACTTGAACAGAGTGTAAGCACGATTAACTTCTATCTTTGTATTCAAGCTGGTTGTATCTGAATTCGAGTCGCGCTCGACCGATTCCGATTTCCAATAAGCTCCCGTACGAAGGCGCCATTCAAGGCGAACCAGGAAGACAATCCGCGAAGTTCGAGCGTGGCGGAAATGTAAGAGCAAGGGCAAGGTTACGGTAATAAGCGGCGGCTGAGACAGAGGAACGGGGAAATGAACTCGGTGGGGCCACACGAGGCCGTTGCCCTTTACAAATCAGTCTCGTGTGTACGTGTAGCTCTATGTGTAGGTACGTGCTCGCGTGCACAACGAAAATACTGCGGTCGTGTTTTTCTTCTCATCAACCGAACTTCGTCTTGAATAGAATTACGTAGATCAATTAAGACCTAAAAAGGAAATCTAAGAATGAAGACTCTGAGGGAGGTTAAACGGAACGAGATATTTCATTATGGAAATAAGCTTCCAATTACTTCTTGTACTTTTGGATTTGTCAAATAAAATAATTGTCAAACACACGTAGAAATTTAGCATCTTTTTTATTACGTATTTAATTTTTTCTTCCTTATCGATTGGTACTTTTCTAATGCGAAGAAATTTTCGTATATTTTGTATGTAATAAGAATGTGGTAGTGATAGACACTTTTGGCGCCATTTACAATACAACTATAAATCGCCTATTATAGAAACCAACGAACGACGTATACACGTGAATATAGGTAATTGTAAATGTGAAGCAGAATGAGATATCAACGTCGCAGTCCGTGTAGAAAAATCAATTCCATCCAAGATTACGTTCTGGCTGGCTATGTATGCAACAGAACGTGCACAGTGGCCCGCAGGTTCTTGAACTTGCCTGACGATCTGTTTCCATGCCAGGTGGGGACCGGGATCGCCGGTCGGCAGGAGACGTCGTCACACCTCGCTCATCCTCCGCATCGTCAAGACGTTCATTGCTCACGCTACCACGCCACGGGCATCGTTTTTTCTCATCAAAAGCCAACCACAAGTCCTTTTCGTATTTTCTTGATCGTTCCCTCGATCGATCGTTTTGCCGCGTCAGCCTTTTAACCTCGAGACACGGGACACGTTCAACAAATTCCTACGCTTTTCGTGACAGACTCGACGAATTTAACAGATCGAGAGGGGTTTCATTTAGCACATATAACACATAAACACGATATATCGTCGATATTACTACGATTAGCGGGGAAACAGACATCGATGCTATCGATCAACATGCGAATCTTCAAAACAGTGCTGCTACTCGCCGCGTTCTGTTCTAACAGCGTCGTCCAGTGCTTACCGGTTGCGAACGAGACATCGATCGTGGAATCATCGAGCCTGACAACAACGCAGCAGCCACCCTACAGTTCTACAGTCGATCATTACGATCAACGACAGAACGGGACCGAGAATTACCGTATCCACGTGGACGACGTGATATTTGTCATCGCTCCCGTCGAGACGCTCCTTCTAGCCGGTGCTGCTGTCGACAATAAACCTAACTTACCGATAATTGATTCGTTGAAGCCGCCCTCGAGTAAACCGGAAATCGATCCTAAACAGTCACTGGCGCCCAAGTCAGCACACAGGTATTTTCAAGTTTTCACACTTCGAACAGGGTGATATTAATTTTTTATTTCGGGAGCAACGATCTGTTTTCTATCGGAATCATTGAAATTATTCTTTTTGAACTTTGAAAAGTGATTTTAATATATGATAGTTTTTATAATGGATTATTAGTTCTTTTTTTTGTCACACTCTGAAAACTGCGTCGTGTCATTATCAATCTCTTCTGCGCAATATTATTGCGAGCGGAAGTGGATATATCGATACACATGGTTGTTACTTCCGTTATTGAGAATTGTGATTATCGATTAAAGTATGAACGGAATAATTGAAATAAATAAAGTAAATTAAATTACTTACAAATATGAAATATGTTTGAAAACTTTTAATTTATTTTTCTCTTATCAATTGATTGGACTGATATATAATATCTTTATTTTAGGCCTGGTCTACGCTTGGCAAATTTACTGGTTCCGCTGTTCCGTCGTATTCGCCATGAGTGAAGAAGTCTAATTTTTACACGAAACGCTGCAAGATATTTACGTCAAATTTAATCCATTCGTTATAAATTTTTTTTAAATAATCGCATAATGCCACTCCCTCTCCCCGCCCCGCCATCACCATTCTCTGCTATCCTTTTCATCGCAATGGACTGGTTAGTTTAAGGTAGTATTTATTTTTTATCTCGCTTGTAACGAACTAACATAAAAAATGAATCGACATAATTAAAAAAATGAAAATATTCCACTACGATCACATGAGTTAGCAAACAGTATAAGGTGTAAATGGGTCTTTGAATGACACTTATACTCAAGTCATAATATACAATACCTTCTTATCGAAACGAAATTTATTTGATTAAAAATTAAAATACATTACTTATGAGTTCCTTTTTGGTATATCATCACAATACTTTGTATAAAAAATGCTTAGGACTATGATCCTCAGAATATATATCATCTGGGTGGAATCGTTTATTTTGTTAAAAAAAAGAATAGATTCAGAGAGAAAAAACTGATCACTTTCACACGAATCTTTACAAGTTACAAGTGTACAATAAGTGGCTTGTACTGTCAAAAGGAAAGGGTGGAAGAAAAACCTATATAAAAAGGATGATCGTTCGAACGCAATTAGAATAGAAACGTAAGTTTCATGATGTTCACTTACATATATATACAATATGCCTTCGAAAAACTTACACGACGGACAATTGTGAACCATGGAAGCGTGTACAAGAATATGTTCTTCAAATATATCTCACCATTAAAATAGAAAGCAGCTCTGTGTTGTAACGTGTCTGTGTTCTCATTTTCTTTTTGTTCTTCACTTTGATACTCGCGGGAATAATTTACAATAAAGGTCGGTACTTTTTTCTTTCTTTCATTTTCACTTTGAAAGTAGTTCCAACAAAAGATATCCCCGAATACGCTCGTGATTACGTTGAAAAACACCAAGGACACATTTAAATATCGACAAATGATGGATCAAACAATATTACGAACAAACATTTCGTTTCGTTCGAATGATGAATCATTCGCCAATATAATTTTATATATATATATATATATTATACGCCAATCCTCATGACGTAATTGTATTAGTAAAACTAATGTACCCTGTTGTTATTTTCACGGTTAGAAGTATACACGTGCTTTTCATTTTATCGAAGTTTGAAAATGAACTTAAGGTACATTACAACCTATACGCTTTCTTCTCTAAGTGTACAATTCGTGAGAAAAATGATTCGTTATTTTGATAATAGCACGGCAAAATGCAATTCGGTGGGCACGAGAAGATAATTCATTAGTTAATGTAATTATTAAGTATTTATCTTGAATTCATCTATTACTTTTTTTCACTTTTCCCCAAGCGATAAATCGTGTTAACACCTAAAATTGCGGGATAACTAACTATCGATCCTACCATACGCGAAACGATAATGATTGGAAAAAGGATGTAATATTTTAAATTACAGTCTCCTGACTGAATGAAGTTCAGTCTAGCCTGAGTCACATGATTTACGATCGAATCCCGAATTATGCAGGCTATAATTCAGTATCGAAATAATGGGGTGATGAAGATTCACTGTTATTATATACATGGATTACACGTTTGTCAACGATAAAATATGTGTACTAAAGCAATGCGCACGAATACCTCCCGTATAACGGAACGGAGAAAGCTGTACATCACTATGACACACGCAAAACGCCTATAGTTTACATGGACTACAAATATTACCTAATCACCACTGTGGCGTGATTCGCCGAAAAAACACGATTTAAATGTACACAAAATCGTTGACCGTCATTTTCAGCCATAAATCTTCCCTCAAACGATACATATCATCGGGGTGATTCTCTCTCATCTCGGCGTCAACAACGTACGATTATGCAAACAACAGACTCAATAATGAGATTTACTTCGTCGAAAAAAATACTAATAAAAGACCAACAACAATAAAAATTAAAAAGGGAGACGAAAGACAAAACGAAGAAGAAAAATAATAAAGAGGAAACGTGTTATTTTTTTTTCTTTTGTTTTTTTAGGAAGAAGGTTGAGCTGCTGCGTTCGCGTTGAGATCTTCGCAGCCTGTAGCTCCTCCAGGGCCACTATTATTAGCAACTGCGGGCTCGTCAAATTTTAATTCCTCCTTACCCGCCTATAGAGGAATTATTCCATTTGACATCTTTTTCAAAAAGTCAATCGCTGATTAAAAAAATTCTTAGAACGGCACCAGAAGCATTTTCATAGATATGTGTCGGTAACATCACCAGCTATTACCTCTTTGATCAGCATACGACAGTTCTCCATCACACTACGCCGCCTGTCCGTGTTATTGCTCAATATTTCCTCCGACTGATGCAAACTGTCCACAATTTTACGCAGCTCCTCTAACTCCGTTACCGTTATCTTCAATTTCGTTTCTAATTCGGACCTGCAAATCATCACTATACATTTACCTAGTGTCCCTTTTACTCTACACACGCTTCTTACAGCAAGGAAATATGATAGATTACTTCTCCTCTTTCAGCTCCAGTATACACGTGTCGTTATCGAGCTGTATTATTCGCAAAACTTTCAATAATTTCGTAACGAGATTATCTACATCAATCACTTGATCAACAAGACCTACGGCGGGACAGTAGTCCGAAGCCAGCGGACCATCATTGGTTCCTGTATCAGATTCGCTTATAGAATCGCAATCATCGTCCTCCTCGTTTTCTACCTATATGAAAAATATATGCATTCCAGTTGATAATTATTTTTTACAATGGTATCATTTAATAAATATGTTTTTAACCACTCTACGTAGTTTGTATACCTTACGACGATGCAAAATAGCTTGTGTAAGATTCGTAAGACTCGAACATTCTTCGTTGGCGCGCGTCCTTTTCAGATTACTCTCGTCCACAGTTTCTGGGAAACTCAGAGCTCTGCGAAGTGAATCGCTGCTCGACACCATGTTGTGCGTGTACGTATCGGGCAAGGGAACATCCTCCAGCACACTTTCCATCATCAAGCATGGCTCGGTTTCAAAATCGAGCAAGTCAGATGATGATTCCATGCTCAATTCTAAATATGAAACAATGATTATTGGACGATCTTCTTCGTTAAGTAAATGGTCTACTGTTAGAAGTGATAATTCAAATAAAAATTACACTTAAATCGTATACCTTTGTATATCTGTTTAGCTGATTCTAAGGTGGACTTTTTATCTGTATTTTTCGTTGCAAAAGGATGCGTCGCCGCGTTTCGAATGGTCCCAATAACAGCAGAAACAAAGGAACCGCT